ATAAAAGGTTCTTGTTCATTGCAAATATATGTTATTTAGAAATAGGTAGCGATTTGTATTTTCGTACAGTACTTTAGTCGTTTATGACACATTTAGCACTAGTTAAAATGGATTAGACATTGCAAACACAAAGGCCACAGGAATCTGAAGGCCAATATTCACAGCATGCATCTTTCCCATCGCTAATGCTCCTAGAATCAACCCTCCAATGGTTCCTACAGTTCCCGACCATGAGGACCATCTTGTAGCTGCAGATGCTGTTGCACCAACTGACACGCCCACTGCCCCAACCGCTCCTAGAAGGGCACCCGCCATCCCTCCATCACCCCAGGTAGCAAAAACCTCCATCCCAATGAGTAAGAGTCCTGCCACTACAGCTGGCCCTACAATAACCTTCACCTCTCCAGCTGCTCTTCGAACCAGTGCCCCTCCCACTGTGGCCCCCAGACCAAGCTGGCAGAGTTTTGCTCCAAAAAAGGCAGTGCTTATAGCCTCCAGGGAAGCCTGCAGGTTCATTTCAGAACTGATGAGTTCTCTGGACTGAGTGTGCCCTGCTTTCCTCATCTTCATAGCAGTTGTAACAACCACCTGCTCAGCATGTAGGGTGAGCATGGCAATGATGAAGGTTGCGAACATTCCCATGCAGCCTACCAACATCCAGAACTTAAAATCAGAGGCCTGCATTAGAAGAAAAGCAATGAGGGCAACTAAAGCCAGAAGCACTAAAAGCACCACCTGATGGTTCCCATAACCAAACAATCCCAATACTGATGTAACTATGGACACTACTGCCATTGGTATTCCAGAAAAAGCCAAGAAATCAACTTGTTTTACTAGCACAGTGTTGATCCATTCATTAATGGTTTTTTGCTCCATTTCAGCTTCTTCACTCTCAGTTTTCCTCTTCTCTATCTCCTCTCTCTGTCTTTTTTCTGTAATCCATCTCATCTTGTCATCTGTTGTATTGCCTTGCTTTTCTATTGACAAGATCCTCTCCTCTATGTGCAGAGCCACCCTTTCTCTCTGCTGCAACTCAGTAATCTCAATATCTTCCCTCTCCCTGGATATGATTTCTGATCCAAGCATGCAACAGGCCTCTCCTTTGTTCCAGGCCAGCTGAAATAAAATACTCAGGGGTGGTTTTAGAACAGTGAACAGGCCTAGAGCCCACAGAAGTCCCACCATGCCATAGGTGTTTACTATCCATTCGATTACTTTGCCAAAGGTAGCTCCGCTGAGGGTTGTCCCAAGAATACCAGCAAACCCTGCTAACGCCCACAGGCCTACAGAGTCTGCATAAGAGGAGCTGCAGTTCTTCGTTGCCACGAACAGTGAAGCTGTAACAGCTGCCAAAATAACTCCAGCTATCACTGACGTCATTGCTGTTGTTAGTGCTGTTGCTCCCATAAGAGTTCCAAGTCCCAGAGCACCCATTGCCCTGGCTTCCTCCATTACTGGTTTCAGTGGACCACTTGCAGTCATTGCAGACACGATCCTATCCACTGGTTCTTCAGTAGCACCCAGTATGCATCCTCCCACAGCTCCCAGGCCAAATCCCAGAGCAGCATCCATCAGCTGATTCCTGGTTCCTGAAACACAACTCAGGTGTTAGTCATTCTACCCTTTTATTTCCATTAAATCTTTGCTCATTTTATCAAAAAGGCCAAGGTACATTTCATCACAATGTACTCATTTACTCACTCGTTACACAGTCTACTGTGTATAGTATATTATATATTTATATAGTATATTGTATGTTTTGTATTGTATATAGCTGCACATTCTGTATTCTGTGTATATATATATATATATATATATATATATATATATATA